CCCCAAAACCCCAAAACCCCAAAACCCCTGGATGATACGAAGAGATAGAAATTTGATAATAATATGGCAATAGAGCTAAAGACACTGAATTTTATAGCAATAAGAGCTAATTAAGAAATGAATTACCATCAAAGAGGTTTGATTGACTGCTGGAGGCATCCCAGCTCAACTTCTGAGTCCAGAGGTTCACTATACTAAGAGATTCTTTACAGATTATGAATAATTAATTACTTTTAAGAACAACAATAACTATATTGTATAATAAATTTGTAGTGTAATTCAAAAGCAATTCAAAACTTGATGGGCTGCATCTATTTGCTAAAATAGTAGAAACTTGATGATTTTTCTCATTCTTTCATCCAATTAGAAATAAATCAAACAACTTTATGAAAAATTTATGCACTTTTTGTCACTAATTTACTATATATCTAGAAAGAATTTATCGAGACCAGAGAGCAATAAAAATTTACGAAACTATTGATGAAAGTCTTAAAGAGATAAGGAGTGTCTCAATAAATTTGATGCCCAACTTCATAGTGGCGAAATCATTTAAAATTCGTTTATTATTATTCTTATCGAGTAGTTAAATAGTTTATCCCGAAATCTCTATTGAGTGATAGCATAAGCCTTCACATGCTAGAAATGGCCAAGATGGCTACTAATAAAGTAAGAATGAGCCATAAGTTCATATGAGTTGAAGAATTTCTTTTCTCACGAATTTGTAATTTAATGATGCCCTCACTGAAATTTAGCAAATCAGATTTAGGTTTATTCCTAAAATATATAACCAAAGGCGTCCTCACTCTTACACTATTGTAATTAAAATAAGCTTTCTCAGGATTTTATTTATTAAGTCTCTGAACTCATCCCGGCTTACTATATTAATAGAGAGTTTCAGGTTTTAGCAAACAAACTGTGGAGTTTACACCAGTTCCAAATTGAAGAAATGCTCTAAATGTCAGAAAATAATTTTTCTTAAGTAAGTTTCTAATTGGCATATTTGGGGTATAACATTGTTCCTAAAGGTTATTATTGTAGGCACGGTAGATATATAATGTTCAGAATTTTGATACAGATTAATGCTGATAATTTCTCTCATAGCTTTCTTATGAATGCTCGGCTGATTCTAAGCTAATTGCTCATATGGTAGGAAGAGTAGTGTTAGGGAACTTCTAGTCCTCTGTTTGTTATATTTTCAGAGTAATTTTATTTAGATAAACCTAAATTACCTTAATAATATGTTTAACTGAGTTTATAGTTTTCTGAGTCCATGGACCTACTAGAAAATTATGATTTTGTAATCCTAAGATTAGAATAAAGACTTGCTTCATAACTATACTTAGATATTTCTTTGTTTCTTAGGTCCTTGGCCTTACCATGAGTTCAAACTATTTGACTATGTTTACTTGATTCAAATTAAAAAGACTCCATTCTTCAGAGTCCTACTTAACAGTAGGATCATAATTATTGCTCTTCTCAGTCATTGGGGTTATTTCTTTCCCACTTGGAATTCTTCTTCTTAAATATTGAGCTTATTTGTATTGCACAACTATAGGTCTCTTGAACTTTACCATAATATATTAAAATTTTAATTCTTTCTCATATTTTAGGTTTCAAAAAAATGGTATAAACTTTCGTTCTGTATGGTTTAAAATTGCAGTCATACTTTTAAAGGACAAGATATTTATGAAAAATTCTATAGCTTAACGAAATTAACAAAAGAGCTCATAATCTAGACAGAAATATTAGATGGGAAATAATAAAGGATACTAACGTAGTGAACAGATTTTATGAAGAGTTGACACAACAGTATTTCAAAACTTCCTATCAGACGATTTATCAATGTGTGCAATAGACGAGAAATTGATTAAGGAAATATTATTTAAGATTAATTAGCATGTTTATCCAGATTGAAGAGGAAGGAATCATTCCTTAGTTATTTATCTGGTCAGCACTCTTAAAATCTCACTTGAAGAGATTTTTCTTAGCTCTCTACCTTCTTTTTTATTAAAAACTTGACTAGTATGATTAGGGGAAGAGTTGAAATCAAAAGTCATTGGCTTCATGCTTTGCTTTAGCAGACTTCCTTTAAGCTCAACTTTGGACTCAAAGTCGTCCTCTTTTTGAGACGAGCCATCACCGGATTCTTCAGGCTCTCAAAGGCTTTCAGATGCTACCTCTCTGAACTCTTTTAAAGGTTTACCTTTGTTCTCCTTAAGAGTGTTCAAGAACTGCCTTGTAAAGTAAGGTTTCTGAGGAGAGCAGTCTTCAACAGCTTCAGCGCAGATTTGATAGTCATCCCAAATGTTTTCATGTGAAGTAACTAGTTTTATTGGTTGTTGGAAGTTCATCAAAGAAAATATTATAAGGAATCCTCAACTATTGATGCTTTTATGGGGTTTTGGGGTTTTGGGGTTTTGGGGTTTTGGGG